ACCAGTTTTCTAGATAAATTATACCCAATGTGCTCCATATTAACACCAATAAGCAAATCCATAACTGATTTCTCATTACACCATAGGTCCCATAAAAAGCAAGGGAAGAATCTCCCTGGATAGTGAGTTTAATAGCATTTTTAATCTTAATGGCTACCTCACAAATAAATTTCCAATAAGACAATTTCCTGTTGGTGTCCATGTTCTAGAGGGATATATAATTAAGCTTCCACTAGTGAGACAGTAAACTATTTGAAGTAAAAAATCTCCAAATCAAGGAACACCCAAAGCATGATAGAGAGATTAAATACTAAGAATTCCAAGGCCACCAAACGGTTTGGGCTTGGAGGTCTCTTTCCACGAAAGTAAATGGAGTTTTTTCTTGTGAACATTCCAAAGAATTAGAACCTGGAGCATAAGCTATTAATGATTTTACAACATGATTTGGGGACAATAGCTCCTCTAATCCAATAAGCCAAAGTATTGGAGATAATAAATTTAATGAATTGTATTTTACTAGCTAAAGAGAGAGTATTAGCTTTCCAACCATCCATATGACAATACAATTTTTGCATCAAGTTCTGAAAATCATTCTTATGGAGCTTTTTAGTGAAAATAGGAAGTCCCAGATACCTGAAGGGAGCATTAGTGGTAGGAACATTGAGAATACAACAGATAGAATCCTCCTCATGAACATTCTTAGAGAACAAGATGGAGCTTTTGACATAGTTAATATGAAGTCCAAAGAAGGACCCAAAAGAGTTAAGAATGTTTCTCAGTTTGGTGGCGTTCTATGAGTCGGCTTTCCCAAAAATGAGCAGATCGTCGGCATAAAGTAGGTGAGAGATAGTAAGTCCCTAATTGGAGATTCCAAAAAATTGATAGTTCAAAGTAGCTTCCTCAAATAAAGAGGAAATCCCATCCATAGCTATACTGAATAAGTAGGGTGACAAAGGGCAGCCATGCCTAATCCCAAATTTAGAGTTGAAGAAACCTTTAAAGGCTCCATTGATAGAAATTGAGAAGAATACATCCATGATGCAACCTTTTATCCACTTAACAAACTGAGTAGGAAATCCTTTTTGAAGAAGCCGATTGAGGATAAATTCTCTAGAAATTGAATCAAAAGCTTTGTGAATGTCAAATTTGGCACAAAGAAATTTATCAGACCTCTTAAGATTAAATTCCCCAAGAATTTCAGAAGTAGAATGTTGTCATAAATAGATCTATTATGGATAAATCCAGACTGACTGGGATGAATGATAAAAGGCATTATCCCTTTCATCCTATTAGCAAGGATTTTATCAATAATTTTATAGAAAGTGTTGCATAAAGAAATGGGCCTAAAATCCAATGTGTTGTCGGCATGGGGCTTTTTTTAGATAAGCACAATGGCAGTAGCTTTAGCCTGCTTGGGAAGAGAGGAATTAGTAAAAAAAGAGATCACAGCTTCACAGAGATGCTTACCAATGATATTCCATGTAACTTTATAAAAGTCATAAGTAAAGCCATTCGGTCCAGGAGTCTTGGAAGAAGAGGAGGAAAAAATAAAAGCCTTTATTTTCTCCACTATAACAGGATTGATCAAAGAGGACTGGAGGTCAGGATGAATGATGTCACCCATCGGAATGCGGGAGTTGCTGGCAGTATAATGAATATCAGGATTGTAAAGCCTCTTGAAATGTTGAATAATAACTTCACTAATATCATGAGGTTCCCAAAAAATACCATCAGTGGTGCTAATACATTTGATAGAATTAATATTGTGTATAGCATTGATCTTGGAGTAAAGGAATTTCATATCATCCTCGCCACTAGTGAGCCAGTGTGCTTTACGTCTTTGGGTAATCTAGTTTCCCCAATCAGCATTCTTCTTAGCAAGTTTGATGTTAATGTCCTTGAGGGATTTATTTAATCCAAGATCCAGAGGATGATGTTGGATAGAAGACATATAAAACTCAAAAGCAACAGAGAGAGAATCAATCTCTCTTTTAAGCAGATTGGAAGAGGCCCAAGAATTAGATTTGATACTATTTTTTAAAGCTTTGAGATTATAATAAAAGTAGCAGATAGGGCTTCTATTAGAATGAAGGGAGAAAGCTTCAATAAGGCAGTCCCAAAACCCTAGCAAATTACCCCAATAATTTTTATAGAGAAATCTATGCTTTTTAGTAGAATCCATCTGGCTAACAATACTAATAGGAGCATGATCCGAAATGAGGGGTTCACCAACCTTGTAATAGGAGGAAGAGAAAGCCTCCAGTCAGAAATCATTGACAAGAGGACTGTCTAAATTAATGTGAATGGGGTTTTCCACATGTTGATTGAATCAGGTAAAGTAGTGGCCTACCGAGGATAATTCATGAACCCCAATATCACAAATCAGATTATTGAAGTCAGTAAGTCTAGGTTGAGTAACCCCCCCCCCCCCCTTCTCATGGGGAAACCAACTACAATTGAAATCCCCAAGGATAATCCAAGGGGAGGAGATGTTGCTGGCAACATCAGCAATTTACTTCCAAAGTAACTGCCTATCCTCCAGAGAGTTAGAGGCATAAATAGCAAAGACTATACAAAAAGGAGAGTTGCCCGAAAATAGAATACCATGGATCATTTGGCTAGAAGTAAACAAAGGCGTGAAATCAACCTTATTAGAATTCCACTTGATCCAGATCCGACCAAGGCTAGAGCAAGCAAAATTATCATATGATGCTTCATTATTGAAAATGGAATGAGTGACATTAAACCAGGTATTTGCTACAAACTATCTAGCAATTTTTGCTTCAAGGATAAAGAACATATCCAGGCTATGTTTGTTAACAAAGTCTTTGCAACAACGTACTTTATCCGGGTTATTAAACCCCCGGACATTCCAAGCTCCCATAGACGGGGGGTTCATTGGGATTTAGAGGAGGGGGTGGATGCCTTCTTAGCATTTTTGGCTCTTGTGGATTTGCTTCCCGCAGGAGGGCCTTCGGGGTTCGAAATATGAACCTGGTTCTGATTGTGCTGGCTAGAAGGGAGAGTTGAAGAACCCTCATTTGGGTTTGGGTTTGAAGGTAATGAAGTAGTTTATTGGTTATCACTAGGAGATGAGGGGGTAGTGATATCCTAGGCCGTAGGAGAAATTGAAGTGGTAGGTGGAGGTTCTAGGTGATCTGTGAGGGCGGCAATTTTTTTTTTGGTGGCTAAATCAGGTGATTTAGAGAAGTGGTTGAGGGGAGCTAAAGTAAGGTTCTCAAGTGGCAAATCTAAGGGTAATAATTCCTCAGAGGGAAATTTAGGAAGAGGAGAAGCAGCGGGAATATGAGGGGGGTAGTCTTGCACATAAGAAATTGTGGTATGGGGTATAGGAGGTTTTAGAATCATAAGTCTTGCTGGTGGACTGAAACGGGGCTTATGACTGGTACTGCATCCACGAGGTTTTGGTAGTGGCTGGACATTAGGGGTGGGGTTTTTAGAGCAGGCAGTGGGAGAATGATTAATAGATCCACAATGGTTGCAAGGAACAGGTTTCCAATCATAGAGAACTGCCATTGGGGTTATCTTTCCATCCACATTGATATAAAATCTCATCAGGTAAAGGGGAAGAAGCGTTTACCTGAACGTAAATTCTGGCAAAGGTAAGCCTAGTTTGGCTGCCATTAAAGCATCCACAGCTAGAGGAATACCAACATAGCTAGTGAGATTCGAAATCCCTTTCGGAGTCCAACACGAAAGGGGCAAGTTCTTTATCTTGATCCAAAATCGGGGGACCATTTCTGGAGAATGAAAGGCTTGCCAAAGAAGAACCAAGGTCCTCCTGACCATGCCATTTCATATAGGGGTGTCAATTTTTGACACGAGCCGAACCCGACCAGGAAAAATCCGGGTTAGGGTCAACCCGGACCTGAAACGGCTCGGGTTTGGGTCTAACAAATCAACCCGTTTTAAAAATCGGGTCGGGTTTGGGTTGACCTAGTAACCTGAAATTGACTCGAAAATGACCCAAAATTGACACGAAAACTCCTATTTGACCCTGAAACCTGAGATTGACCCATTTTTGACTTGATTTTGACCCGAAAAATTGAAGATTGACCCAATTTTGACCCAAAACTAGCAATTTTAGGTCAACTTCAGGTCATTCGTGTCGGGTCGGGTTGACCCGGACCCAAATCGGGTCTGGTTCGGGTTCGAAAACGGGTCGGGTTCGGGTTGACCCGAACAGTGTCAGGTCAGTTTCGGGTTCAACCCGACCCGTTGACCCAAATTGACACCCCTAAGTTCATAGTCCTCTATATTTGTGAACTTAAGAAGGAAGAAGCCATCGTCTAGTGCAAGGAGGGAGAGGGAATCCTTGAGATTCCAAGTACGTTTGATGGTGGAAAGAAAGGACTTGTAATATGATCGACGACCGATAGAATAGCCAACGGGATAGAGACCACTCGGGAGCTCCAGCTTCGAACTTTGCTTGAGTGAAATGGGCGGTAGCATTCACGGTGGGAACATGCAGTAACGAAGAAGAGAAGTTGGAGATCTGATCATGGGTGTACAATAGGTTCTTCCATTCGAGAGGAGAAGAGGAAGGTAAAGAGGAGGTGATGAGAGGTGGAAAACTTGAGGAGGACATCCCGAGCAGTCCGAAGCAAAAAATGGTGGCAAGGAATCGCGGGAGAGAGCAAACCCTTGCAGAGCAACTTCGCTTTCATGAGTCCTCGCAATTACATCAACTTTTGCTCTGTTACAAAATTTAGTTGATTGCTGAGAAAGAGTTAACTGATCATTTACGACCAAAAGTACAATAGTTTACTAAAACAAGACACCTGACAATACCATTCTTTTACTGCTTTCTAAGCCAGTTTTTTTATACTAAAATTTTTAATTCAAAAAATTTTTGTATTAAAAATTACTTTAAGAATCAGAAAAAAAATCATCCCAAATGATTCTAAAACTTCTATCTAACGAACCTTCAAATTTGTGGACTGTAATCAAGAAGAAACTGCCCATTAAAAAGAAAAAAATTGAAATCTTCGAGAATTCTGCTGCTATTAATAACATCAAATGAGTTTTAAGACAGCAATAAAATGCGTATTAATTGAACATGAAGAGAGGTCAACAATAAGGAAATTTAAAAGCATACAATGGAAAAAACTTAAATTAAATTCCATAACCATTTTCCTAATTGCTTCTAAAATTATCAAATTGGAAAGGCAGAATCAGCGTTATCTGAGAACGTTTCCACTAAAATCAAATAAAACGATTTGGGATTGAAGACGACAAGTTCTTTGGTTGTACCAATCTATTCCCGAATTTTTTGGACGCCAGTCCAGCGAGCATAATCAACCCACCTGATCACGAGAAAAGCAAGAGGACCGTTTAGTCTTAGTTGATCATTCTTAACTGTACCAAGTGATCTTAATCATAAAAGGTGGGAAAATTTTTGTTGCGGATATTCTCAACAAAATATAGGCTTCGTTTGGTACGGCTTTCTTAATGCTTCTTAAAGCATCTTTCTAATAAAAAAATTAAATGTTTTTTGATAAAAAGTTATTTTTAGAAGCATTAAGAAAACCATCCCAAATAAAACCACAGTGAAGTTGAGTTCTAATAATACTGCAAAATTAGTGTAGTATAAAAGTTGATTGACTATACATGAATTGAACTAATTTCAAAATAAATTCACAAGTTTTAATATAGATGAACAAATTTTTTATTGGATATCATGTTTTAATTTTTCAAAAAAAAAAATGGTGAGGGCCTCATCAAAATTTAGTCATGTTCGTGGTGCATTTATCTCAAAATAAATCCAAGTAATGAAAATGCACAACAAACAAAATTTTGTAAGGATATCATTGTCCATTTTGTTTTTCCTTAAAAACAATAGGTGAGAAAATATTATCAAAAATTGGTTACAATGGGCTTAAAAAACCCTTTTATTTGCTCTGAAAAAAGGTACAATACAAGAGTTAATTGCTTTTTTTATATTATATTCATGTAAATTCAAAGATTTTAAAAGCTATCGATCTTTGGTCATAAAAAAGAAAGGTAAAAATATAAGAGTTGAAGCTTACAATAGGGATCCCAAAAACGTATTCCCTGTACGAACTGCAAAGCACAGTGCGCTGAGCCAGAGCTTTTGGTTGTGTAGCAATGGCTCCAAAATCCGTTGTTCAATGACACCAGCTACGATCTGATATCTGCAAGACAAAAGTTTATATAGTTATAAGTACAAAACTAAATAACTAAAACTATAATGACTTGCCAAAAGCAAAGGCAGTCATAAGTGACTCTTAAGTATCCTGTTAAAAATTAAGTTGGGTTCTACAGTTGACTAGAATTGATAGATCGATAGTAAAACTCGAAGCAGTAAGCAGAAATAAAAACAGCCTATTAATTTTATACTATATTACATATCAAAAGTTCAACATATAATACTACAGAAAGTAGAAGCTGACAAGTCATATTTATCACATCTATAATATCTAAATTTTTATATTTGATATAGAAGTTGATATTTTTAATGATAAATAGTAATTAAATATACATAAATGGATATAGAAGTATATATTTTTAATGAATAAGAATTCTGGAATAGCACATTGAACATTATATAAAAAGTATAAAGGTTTAAACACTATATTTGGGAAGTATACATACCTAAGATTACTAGAAACTGCCATGTATACACCATAAGCAACGCTTGTCTCTATTAGTGGAACCTCCTCTGCTTCTCCAGCAAAATTCTTGTCCACTGCCTTTCTTGCATTAATCAAGGCATTTGTTACACCAGTCCCAACCTGATTAGAAGAGAAATTTCGCACCAACAATTTAAATACATGGTTTTCATCGTATTAGCAAGTAGTATGCTAAGTAAAAAAGAACATTCTTGCATGACTTGGCAAGTACAGAAATAGAGTGGATTAAAAGTTTCTAACCATTCAGCAGTAGCAATATCAACAGGAATGACAAAATAAACGTAAAGAAATGTTTTTAACTGATGGTTTCATGAAGTCAGATGGCAACACAGACCTGACCTGACAAGCTTCGGCCCACGAGATTCTACTTCTTTGGTTTTTATTTCAATAATATTTAAGTGAAGATATTTTGGAACTTTATGTTATCCAAGACTATTATAGCCTTATAGGTTATCTTCTATCAAACACTATGAAGCTTCTATTGATTTTCTAAATCTTGGCCTAGGAAATAATGTAGATTTTTCATGTGGAGATGCGTGGCTTCTTGCATCATGTACGTGGCTTCTACATAGACCGTTGAAAGACCATTTATCTGAACTTTTTAATTATGAATTTATTAATAACTCCGTGGTTTCTCATCTTCCCTTCTTCATTTCTCCTTTCTCTTTCTGCAGATTTTATTTAAGTATGATATAATTTGGGATTTTTGTCAAAAACTTAAAAATACTTTTAATTAGGTTGTATGACCTGGGTATTAGACAATAAAAAAATTATTGATGGTCAAACTGATTGAAACAAAAAACAAAAAATTGAAATATAACTAGAGAAATAATTATATTAGGATAATGAAAGTAGTAGCCAACCACACGTAGTGGGATAAAAACTTAATGTTGTTGTTGTTAAATGAATGTAGTATCCAAGGTTTAAAATTGCGTAATTAAGCCTCGAGGCGGTTTTCGTCCGTGAGGCGAGGCGTAAGCCTCGAGGCGGTGTGAGACGTAAGCCTCACGGACGCATAATTGCGTAAATGAGAATTTACGGGTTTTAGCAGCTAAATAATAGCAAGATTCTATCATACAATAAAAACATCTAAATGACAAGTAGAATTAATGAAAATTAAGAAAATAGATGCAATAAGTCTTGCAATCAAATATCCCCTAAAGATCAAGAAGTAAATAATTGAAGCAAAAGGCATATCTGAAACGGAATTGCGTAAGCCTCGAGGCGTTTTTGGGTCAAATTGCGCAGAGGCGCGCTTGAGGCGCGCCTTATTGCGCAATTTTAAACAGAGGTAGCATCTATTGAAGAAATTTTAGTGGACAAATAGACTACGATGGTATGAACATATAGAAAAAGATAGAAAAAATATATCAAATTAATGTCAAAGGATTCGGAGGATTCAAAATAAAAATAAATAAACCAAAATAACATATATATAATAGAGTTAATACCTCATACTAGAATGCAACACTCACCAAGAACTAATGGAGAATTTGGTTTCAAAAAGCCACTCTAAATAGTTGAAAATATAATTATAAGTGCATTATGCGTTCAAGTAAATCTTTTTATAGTTTTCAAATAAAGTGGTATTCAAGATTCCAGATATTATTGATTTGCTGGCATTACTTGGTTACCTATATAAATTGATTAATAAGGAGCCACGCATTATGCATGTTGAGGAAGCATTAGGGTTAACAATTACAGTCGTGCTTTTGAAGGTTTTTAGACTCAGGATTAAAAAAAAAGCAAATGGAAAAGAGTGCATCATGGAGTGTGTTTTAAGTCTACTTAATTATGAAGCAAGTTATTTACTTATATTTGTGCAAAACTTGAATTCTTACTCTGATCTAAGTACTTCTACCAAACTTGTTATTGGCTTGCAAGTGCCAACCATTTCACTCAGGTTTGACACAATTAGAATTGTAATTATTGTGATTTTTTATAATTCCTCATTGGTTTTTCATGTTTTGAACTTCTAGTGTTGTAATCATATTTTTTCAGCCATTATATTATCATTTGAGTTATAACTCTTATATTTTTAATTTGCCTTTGAAGGGTATTTTAGGTACTGTAAAGGTATCTGAGACTACATTGCTTTATTTAATCATTTAATAAATTATAATAAATATAAAAATCAAAATAAAAGTTAATCAACTAAATAATAATAATGAATAATTAGTAAAAAATTTAATTTTTTTGATAAAATCTAAATGAAAGAACGTTCAATACTCCAAAACTCTTTCTACAAAAAATATAATCATTTCCCGTAAAATCAAATAGGAATTTCATTACCAATGTCAAACAAACATTTCCTAAGATTAAAAATTATTTTTATCATTTTGAACAAATAGTTACCAAGTAGACAAAAGAATAAAATCATATGAAGGTAAACAAACCAAACATTAATCATTTCTTCAACTCCTTGTGGATGTCGCTCGCAGTCACCGTCTTTAGATGGGAGAAGCGCATTAGCATGTCGCCATGCTCACGGTTTCATCTCCACGGGATTATAACTCACAAATTTTCATCGTCGTGGTTGCTCGCAACAAAATGTCGCCAGTACGTCGCCTCCACATCAATAGCCCGTCGTCTCACTCATGGTCTTCGGATGTCGAAGCCATTGTGCCACTCGCAACAACTCGTCTCGCTTGTGGTCTTCATCTACAACAACACATTGTCTCCCTCATAGCAGCAAGTCTCACTCTTCTGCATTCTGTCTCCAAGGATTATAGCGGGAAGGAGCCAACCTTGTGACTTTTCCATTAATTTGAGGGGGAAAAATTAACAGGGGCAAAATGGGGATACTTTTTTTAGGCTTTTAATCATTTAAGAAATATGCTTAGAAAATCACCATATCTCATGCACACCTTCTAAATGAATTTATCATCAAATAAACATACCTAAGCAATACTGCAAATTTTATGTAGAAGAACAATATTTTATTTCATATAACACAGTTAAATAACATCCTCCGGTACAATTACACCAATGAAAGTTTAAATTTCTTTAAAAATAATCAAATTATATACTCACCTACTAGCAACAAGGGTAATATTCTCTCTTCTATACCTTTCTTAAGCTTCTATCTAGAATCTTCTCGTTTTAGCCATCTATTGCAACTCAGGAATCAAGATTGAGATTGTGATTTTTGATGGTAACAAAATATTATTGTCTTGATGACTTTATTAATTCTCTTAGCATATATTGGATATTTCTGTTTATTTTTTTTGTGTTTTAACATTAGACATGATAGAATAGAATTTCATGTAATATAATATGTATATCTTTATTTTTATTTCTTGAGCCTGAGCAAGTATGATTGTAATTGGGTAACCGTGGACACACACAAGGGAGAGGTAAAATTGTTTTTTAAAAGTATGATCGTACTGTACGATATATATTCGTACTGTACGATTTGACATGGTTAGAAAATATAACTGCCAAATAAGGGAGTGTCAATTTTTGATATGTATACAAGGTTTATTCAAATTGTTACTTCATTGCATGTGTTAGGTAGATAACTTACCAATTCAGAAAAAGATAATAAAATTTTACATTGTCTACCTTCTGCTTATGATGCAAAGATAATCATCATTATTGAGTCTAAAGATCTAAATGCATATCCTATTGACAATCTGCTTAGATCACTTGTTGCTTACGAGCAAGGAGTGAATCAAAGAAAGATCGATGCAGGTGACAAAAGGAAAGAAAGAAATATAACATAAAAGTTGATGATTCAGAGAGTGATCAATCAATGCTAGAGGATGAAAAAGATATTGCACTTATGACTAAGAAATTCAAAAGTTTTCTTAAGAGAAAACAACAACGACATCAGCATTGGAACAAAGGTAAGTTCAATAAGACATCAAAAGTTTTTAATGAAGTCAATTGTTATGAATGCAGAAAGCCTGAACATATAAAGAGTGATTGCCCGAATTTCAAAGCTAATCCTAACAAGGAGAAATTTGAGAAGAAAACTAACATTAGAAAGAGTAAGAAAAGAATGCAAAGAGCTTTCTAGACTGACTCAGCTTCAGACTCTTTAGAAACAGAAGCAGAGGAGGTTGCAAATTTGTGTTTAATAGTAGATAAGCTTGATCATTCAAATCAAGAGGAGGCATGTGATCTATCCTATGATGAATTATTTAAAGTTTCTAAAAAAATTCATAATCCATATAAAAAATTTAAAAAATTGGATGCTAATCTTATTATTGAGTATTTGAATTTACAAAAAGAGCATGAAAATATGAGGAATGATCATGCAGACATAGATAGCAATCACATAGCTTTGCTAGATGAATTTGATGATTTGAGTAAGAAGCATGAGCTATTGAAAACATCTTATAGTGAGCTTGAAAATGATTCTAAAGTTTTTATGGGTGAATCTAATCAAAGGAAACATGATTTGAAGATTGAAAATTTGATTTTGGAAAATGCAAATTCATATATTCAAATAAAATTGAAAGCTTTTGAGGAAAATAAGTCTGCTCTCACACTTGAACAATTTTACAATCCTAACCAAAAGCATACATATTCAAAACCTATGAAAAGACATTATAACTCATATAGATTAGTAAATCATTTTCCTGATGTTAATTGCTTTTCATGTGGAATGTTGGGGCACATTTCGCACACTTGCACTATTCATAATGACCATGGTGGAGAATTTGAAAATGAAAAATTTGAAATTTTCTGTAAAGAGAAAATGATAAATCATAACTTTTCAGCTCCTAGGACCCCTCAACATAATAGGTTGTTGAAAGAAAGAACAAAACTTCGGTAGAAGCCGCTAGAGCCATGCTGGCTAAATATTTACTTTCTAAATATTTTTGAACTGAAGCAGTTAATACCGCTTGTTATATTCTAAATAGGGTGAACATTATATAAAAGTTGAATAAGATACCACTACAGGAAAATCACTCATTTCCGGCGGCAATTTCCGACGGAAATTGAGCTTTTTTCGGCGGTTTTGTAATTAAGCGGCGATTTTCCGGCGGTTCAAATGCCGCCGATAAAAACCGCGTAGGAAAATAAATTCCGTCGGTTTTTTCCGGCGGCAAGTTAGTCCGGCGGCTTTTCGGTGGTTTTAAACCGCCGGTCAAAGTTTGAGGATAACTTTGACATTAATTATGAAGATTCTTCTGAAGAAAATCAAAGTGATGATGAGCCTGCATTGGGTCTTGATCCTAAATGGATGTTTTATTTTTAAGTGAGTTTATTTTAAATCTTCTTTTCTAGTAATATACTAATGTTATCTTAGAACAAATCATCAAATTCACAATTGACGTAATATTTTGTTATTTTTTGACATTTTTATCATTATTCATAATTTTAAATTGCTTTTTTTATTTTTATAATTTTTTAGGCTTACGCCTCGCTTAGCCAAAACGCCTCGATTCCCGATTTCACCTTTTAAAATGTTGGAAAACAACAAGATACAATTGATCCTCTATTTGAGAGGAGGATCGATCTCTCCCAATTTCTAGACAAATCTAGAGCACAAAACCAAAACCTAAGAGATCCCTAATTTCAACCAAATTCAAGATGCCCTAACCCTAGGAAAATAAACTATTTAATGCATGCAAATCAAAAGGAAATCCCTAAAAAGCCCCTACATTTAATTTTCACTTCCAATTCCCTCAAAAAACCTTCCAAATGGGTTCTAGTAATATGATCAAAAGCGAAGTCCTAAAATTGATGATAGTTTACCCGTACATTGGAGCCCTAAAATTGATAAGATTTTATGTATCATCTATTCAACTAGTTCAAGAGTAATCTCGAGTTTGTCCACAGCTGTTAGACCTATAGCATGACCAACAGTGGTTGCTTATTTAGAATTTGGTTGTTGATTATGAGGACGTTTTCAACACTCCTTAATAATATGCTCTGGCTTCTTACAATAATTGTAAAATTTCAATTCACAATTGGCAAAAACATGTTCGTAGCCCTTGCAAGTGAAGCATCGTACAAGTTGCATACCTTTTCCTTATTCTGTTGTTCTCGTTTACTTAAAATATGCAATAGTGTTCTCGTGTACTTAATGCTGTTGAAATATAATGTGTTGCAAGCTGCTACTTCTTGTGAAATAGTTCTCTAAAAACACACCTCTACAAATAAAGAGGGATCACAGTTCATCAAATTGGAGCAAACAACCTAAATTTAAGGATGAACATTCTTCAAATAATTTGATCTCTTCTGCTTGTTTGTGAACTCTTGAACAACCCAAAAATATTTAGAAGATACTGTAGCATTAATTATATTAAATAGTTCAGTCCATAAATTTTAAAGTCCAGAAAAATTATTCGATCTGGGAGGATTCCTTGAATGTAATTAATAATCTAATTTTCTTACTAAAAACATTTAGTTGCATTTTGTTGATTGTACGTTGTTAGTAAATACTCCCATATATCGTTGGTTATTTTATACATCCTTAGATTGAGAATGATTAATGGATCAACAAATCCTAAGATCCAATTCATGACTTTTGAATCCTTATTTTGCTATCAAACTAGTGTTTAAGATGGTGCAAGATTACTCCTATAAATGTGACCACATAATTATTTTCCCATAAGAACTAATTCAAATTGAAATTCCTAAGTGGAATAATTTAAGCCTATGAGTTATACACTAAAAACATCCAAATTGATGGTTAATATGTTCGACAAAATATTTGAAAGTGACGCTTGGGGTCTAAGTCAAAGAAAAGTGTAGACAAGTTAACAAAATAGCTAACTTAGAAAAATCAAGAACTAAGATCAAAAGGCGACTCTCGGTTCTACCGAGTGAGACGGAACAAACCAAATAAAGTGAAGTCCGCAAGAGGCGAGGGAAAGTGAATATGATTCATAGATTGGTGAGAGGCAAAATGGGATTGAACTACAAATTCATGGGTCAGTGACTCGTGAGAGCGTAATCGTACACTCGATCTCTAGTGCGAAGCAGGAGCAGGATTCTAAAGTGATTCTTGCAATGAGCAAAGTACACAAAAGTCCCACTTTCTTTCATAATCTATGATTCCTTTTAGCATCTTTATAGGTTTTTCTATTTGTATGTTCTCTCTCTCGGGTTGGAATTCCACTGGTCAACCTTATCAAAATTTTCTCTTTCATTTTAATATAATCCCTCAAATTTCTTTAAGAAAACACATTTTAAGTAAGAAACTGAAAGATTCTACAGAAATTATTCATTTGAAACACCTCTAGTTTGGAGTATTAGATAATCAGGAAAAAGAAGGATGGAAGAGGAGAGAATTTTTTTAGACTTAAAAAAAAAGAATCCATACACATACAACAAATCCTGCAGTAAATCAATATCTTGATCATTAAAATGGATAATAGTGTTAGAGAATAACTTATATGGAATATAGGTTTACCAGTTAATTGTATATTCGGCAGAACTAGCTTATCCCCAATTGAAACACTTTGCCTAGAAAATGACAGTTACATCATCACCATTCATCTTCAGTCTTATCCTACTATATTTTAGGTTAGTTATTTAAATCCTTCTATCATTCCTCCTTTTCAAGTGATGAATGTTAAATTAATTTTTATTTATATAAATCTCTTTGCTACAAAAGGCTAGGAAAAAATCAGAATACATTTCTAGAAAATTTAAAGAATGAAATCATCGCAGGAACAATAGTTTAGGAAACACACCAAAGATGCAGTAGTTCCAACTACAAAAAGCTTTGACCCATTCCTCTGCAGGAGAAGCACCAATTAAGTAGCATTATGCTTAGCTGTTTCAGATCCACAAGAAGAATATTTTAACAAATATCAATGAGGAAAATTCCTACTATACCACAATTGCGCCTATTCTCTGCAGAAGTGAGTAAGAGGTTCCAGACAAAGCAACCTGCAGAAATGATGTTTCTCTTATGAAATCAATCTAACCACATAAATATAGTTAGTAATCTCCAAACTTCCTTTAGCTTATAGTCAGAGTCATACCTGAAAAGCATTATCTGGGCATCTGTGAAAGAATTTTGCAATTGGTCCAGCAGTCACAGCAAGAGGTGGTCGAAGAGAAACAGTTGGTGCAGGAAGCCAAACAAGCATAAAGTCTGCAATTATGGCCATTACCTAGAAAACAATTTTAATGAGCAAGTGAAAGCATATATAAAAAATATCTAATGAGTTTTCTACCAATGATTATTAAGCTAACATCAAACAACAAAAGAACATGATAAAGAGCACATTCAAAAACATATAATTATCTCAAAAGAAATATGAAGATTCTAAGCATTAAAAAAAGAAAAGTTAACTTTAAATGGCTTAATCTTATTCTAGATATATTGGTTTGTATTTTCTCTGCTGATCATGTAGACGAGTCTGCTTCCAAGTCTATGCGTTAGCATCTACATAATATACACCCTAACAGGGCCTACAGTTCAGATTAGCTTCTTTTGCTATCAACCGCCAGTTATTTTATTCTTCTTCATAAAATCCTAACAAATCTGGAGGTGAACTCCCGTAAACTGGTAAAAACTAAGATAACCATTTAGCACATTAAATTAACCTTTTTGTTGCCCCAACTAAAACAGTGCACTTTGATGATAAACAGAAAGATTCATGAGTTTAATTCAGTCTAGTTATTCAAACTTAATACAATATAATTAATAAGGAGGAAATTGGAAAAACAGATTTTAGAAACCTCCAAACCATGTTCCTAGAATGATCAGAACTGCGGAATTAACCTTGCAACATCATGAGGAAGAGATGCCTACAATAATATTCCCTTGCAATTATTTTGCATTTCCTTCAAGAGTGGTCCTTACTATCATTTCATGGGCTACTTATGTAAATGTATGTAAAATATTGCAGAAATAATAGTTTCTATCTCAAAAAACCTAAGAAACACAAGAAAACCATAGATACATTTTTGGTTATAGAAGAATGTAAGATGTTCAAAATAAAATCTTCATCTGTTACAGAAAGCGTACCACATCTGCAAAAACAAAATCAAGTTCTTTCATAAAGTTCTCTCTTCGTCGTTCCCATTCTGCTGCAGTCTACAGGGAAAAAAAAAACATAATGTCAGCACCATAACATATAGAGGTACCATTATTTCATGAATGACAGGCAGAAATAAATGTATATAAGTCAAGATAACAAATATAAGAGAATAAGCAAAGATAACGTATATGAGATAAGAAAAACTACAAATGAGAGGTGAAAAGTATCAAGAGATTTCCATTTAATTGAAACTTGGTAAGGCTTTCCTTTTCCAAGAGGAATGAAAAGTTCATATGGTACATACACGATATATAAATGAAGCACCTAATAAGCAATCAAATGCATCAAATCTTAACCATATTTAAGCTTCAAGTGCAAAGTCACCCTGGGAAGCAAGTGATTCAAATTGCATAGAGGTTCACGGTCAGGTTTCTTGCTGCATTGGCAATTCACAAGCCGCATAAAATATAAAATGACTGAAGTAAATAGAAAAAGGAAAACATTTGCAATATTCCTAACTTTTCTTCAGTACTACATACCAGAGTTTACCAACCCTATCCGAACCTTTAAATGGTCTGGCCCATTTATATCTGTTTAGAAGTAAGCTACAGGAATGTAAAAAAAATTTAACTCTGCTGCACTGGATAGATTCAGGAAAAGGAAAGGAACATAAAAATATCATTATGCTTTCTTAATGATGGCATAAGCCTTTCAGTCGCAGGAGATGATAAAAAACATAAATTTTATTACTCGTTAAGATATCCGAAGACATGAAACGTACTTAATGAGCACCAAAAACCTACAAGCATCATCTAAAAGACCTTTTCTAAAACCCCTACAAAAACTAATGAACTATAAAACCAACATCAAACAACGAAATGCAGAAACAAGGAGCAGGCCAACACTAAAACTACCTTTGTAAAAATACCAACTCCGCACTCCATAGCAACCTTAGCCAAGAACAAATCATCTGCCAACAGCCGCTCCTTGAAACCTCCGAACTGCAGTAGCCAACGGAAGATCGAAGACTTTTCTAAGTCCGCAAAACGGTACACTATCTCCCCCGGTATCCTCCCCGCATCAATCGCCGCAGCGAGGTCGGAAGGTATGCTGTCAATCGAGCGGCCGATCTCAGCAAGGGCAAGAATCGCCTCAGTCCGGTTCTTCCCACTCGACCCCTCATCATCTCCATTGCCTCCACCTCCGCCACCACCGCCGCCAGAATTACCAGACCCGAAGCCTCCGTCACCGCGGCCAGATCCGATGAGGAAGGGGTTTCGGTTGGGACGGAGGGGGAAGATCTGCAGGCGAGGAGGAGAGGAGGAGAGAGAAATATTGAGAGCAGTAGGAGTCAGGAATCGGGCAACGGAATGGCAATAAGAGATCGAAGGAAGACAGTTGCCAGGGATGGAGAATCTGGAAGATGAGACAGCAGCGACGGCGGCCATCACCGTGCAAGGAAGAAGGGACTGGGGTCCAAAAACTTCTTTGTCTAGCTGCAGCTCTGCTAGCTCTATCTTCTCTCTCTCTCCGCCCGTTCCCCTCGACCTCTGTTTGTGGTATTTAAATTTTGGCCTTCGATTCAGGCTAGCGGGCGGAATGGACGGCAGCCGCACGTTAATATATCAAGAACCGAGGTCAAGAAATTCAGTATATTCACAAATTGACCCACAGACACAGACAAGGAGTGGCTCCATGTTGAAAGTGCGTTTCTCCGCCAGGTTGGCGGGGAATTAGGTGGTGGTGGGTGTGGGCAGGAGAAAAGAGATATTTTTCTCAAAAAAAGGGAGAACTGTGCAAATTTTAAATAGTTATTTTTTATATTTTTATTTAAAAACAAATTTAATGAGTAAGTACTGTCCTTAGGCCAGTAAAAATCTAGCATGCAACCCACACCAATTTATATGGGTCAACACTTAAGGTTTTCAATGCTTGCCAAGGGATTCGAATCAAGGATCTGGGTTTTGCCCAACCGGCTCTTCACCACTCGGACAAGCAGCGGTGCATTTTTTAAAAAATAAAAAATAAAAAAATTCATGGTCCCTGTTGGACAAGTAAGTGGCATTGACAGCCTAGACATGTCTTCTCCTAAGTCAATTGCATGTTCAACATGTGACTGCACTCGCCACTATTCTACAAGTAAACGAGTCTCTTGTTCAACGGGCAATTGGTTATGTTTTAATTTTTTATGGCTACAAAGCCTACAAAGTTGTTTAAAGTAGCTTGAGAGTGATTAAAGCATTGCCCGGATCAGCGGCGGATGCAGTGCAGGGGCCTTGGGGGCATGAGCCCCACTGACTTTGGTAATAGCATGTAGTTAATATCATTTATGATGCATTAAGTACATAATAAATCAAATAAATATTTTCTTTTCTCATCCTAATACAGAAATAACTACCCCGCCTATCCAGTTGTCGCAGAAGAGAGAACTCCGAATGCCCCACCCAGTCACGCATAAAAGAGAACTCCAAACACCCAAACGTCGGTCGCCCTCTTCCACCTTATGAGGTCAAACGCTTCCAGTCGTGGTCGCCATCTTCTCCTCTGGTGAACTTCTTACCTTCTTCTTTGTTTCTTTGTTTGATGATGCATCTTTGGTTTTTGTATGGTTTTTATCGCTTGTTGATAGTTTTTTATTATTTTTTTAAATCTTAGTTTAAGGATCTAGATGGGTTATGGCATTAGATTTTCTGGTCCCTTTGAGCCAAAGAAATGGACTTGTTCTGTTTTGGACTATCATTTTTTAAACTTGTTATCATATCTCATTATCTCCTTCATTAGCTTATTCCCTCTCTAAATGCGTCATGTTTAAATTTGTAAAAATTAATCATATTTATAATATGACATATTTTAATTATGTTCTGCTGATAAAATTTATGTTATATGGAAATAGTTTTATTTGAACTATTTGGTGATAGTTTGAATCCTTGTTCCTTATTTGTTTTTATTAAAAGAAGCCTGTGAACTAAAAATTTTCCTTAAAGCCTAACTTTTCAATTTGAGGCGTGAAACGTGTTGTGAAAAATAATTGTTATTAGGATCAAATTGTTAATAGTATTTTTATTCAATTTAGTATGAATCTATATTTCAAATGAAAAGTTGAAGGAGATGATCACAATACGTTATGTGAAGAAACCAATTCACAAATTAAATAAAGCCGTGTAGAGAAAAATTTTGCAGATATCCCCGCCAATCCTGGATTGAGGAAATTTTTTTGGATTATCATCCTAATGAGAGGGTTTGTTTCAGGAGAAATTAATTGTTGGAAAGATCGTGTCAACCGCGTGATTATGAATTTTCGCATACACAATTCAAACATAAATTTTGTTGATTTAATCCTGCATGATTTGATGATCACAAAGCTTGGTTAGAGTATTGTATAACTAAGGATGTAGCGTACTGTTTGTTTTGTTATCTGTATAGACCTCAAATAGGAGAAGAGGCTAGTAGTGACAGTTTCGATACAAAAGGTTTTAGAAATTAGAAAAAAGGATAGATATCAAATTCATGTGGGTAATAAGAACAGTGCACATAACATTATTAAGCGAGAATATAAAGATTTAATGAATGAAGATAGGGATATCAGATTTGCTTTTAAAAGACATTCTGAGCAGAATCACAAAGATTATTGTACACGATTAAATGCTAGTATCGATTGTATACATTTTCCATTACATATGGTGTTAGCATTCTATAAGCATGATAAATCAGTGTATTATGAGAATCAAGAAAATTTTCTTGAACTTATGCACTTTCTTGCTAACCACAATGAACGCATTAGTAAAGTTATTTTGGATAATGCTCCTAGAAATAATAAACTAATAGCTCCTGAAATCTTAAAAGAAATCACAAAAGCAGCTGCAATTGAGGTTTCAAATATTATAATTAATGAATTGAAAATTTATGTGTTCGTAATTTTACTTGATAAATCTCGTGATATATCAGTCAAAGAATAGGTTGTCTTTGCTTTGTTGCGAATTTGGATCCAAATAATTTAATTTTGATGATAACAAATATTATAGTTTCTTTACCACTACTATTATTGAATATCTATTTTGTTTGCCATGCTTACTAACATTTCAGGTCTGCAATGCAAATCAACTCAAGATTGGGTAGATTAGGGTTGAGTTTGTTTGTAATTTCATATCAGTGTATTTTTTACCTTTCTTGAGTTAAATTTTGAATATGGTGGACCCCAAGCTAAGTAATCTTGCACACACACACTTAGAGAGAGAAATTTAGTGAGCTAGATTTTTTTTTTTGACTAAATCGTACAAGACGATATTAGATCATCATGGACGATTAATTTAAAATATAAATTATGATTAGAGCATCCGTTTAATTATAAGTGATTAAACTAATTGTACTGGATGATCCATATTGTCAAGGACGGTCAGCTTAAAAGATGAAAATAGCCGCTAATCACAATTTAGGTAATGTGTTAACTTTCAAATTTTGTTCTAATTGTATAGGACGATATGCATCGTCCTGGATGATTTATGACAATCATATCTAAATTGATCCAGTGATTAAGAGAGTAATATTCAATCATATTGTATAGGACGATCCATCTGGATCATATTGGACGATATAGTATATTTCGTAGGACAATTCCCAATCATCCAAGACAAAAAAACATAACTTTACTCTAATCATCCAAGAAGATCGTCCTAGATGTCTCGATAAATTTTCAGGACGATATTGATCCACACATCATCTAATGTCGTACTAGATGATTAATATGGTATGTTAAACTAATCGTCCCGGACGATCACAAGATCATACTGGATGATCTATACAAATACTTGTACTGATCATACAGAGTAAAGGTGATCGTCCTTGCTGATAGAGTTGTACTAATCGTATAGGACAATTTGTCGATCTTTCTAGACGATCAGTTGCATAAAATTAAAAATTATGGCTTCTTTTGGAGGCTCTCTATTTAAGCAATTGTATTAACCCTTGCATAACTATAAAATTTTTTGCATGAAACCTAGTGAATCAATTTATAAGATGTATACTAGGTTTAGACAAATTGTTACATCATTGCATGTCTTAGGAATAGAACTAACAAAATATGAAAAGGTTAACAAGATTATGTGATGCTTACCTACTTTATTTAATGCAAAAATTATTATCATTACTGAATCTAAGGATTATAATATTTATTTAATCGATAACATACTTGGATCACTAATTGTTTATGAGCAAGAAGTGAATCAACAACAGCTTGATACAGGTGAAAAGAAAAAAGGAGAAAATTATAGCTTTAAAGGCTAATGATTTTAATATTGATTCTTCCAGTTCTAATAATAATGACATTGCATTAATAACAAGACAATTCAAGAGCTTCTTGAGGAAAAAGCAAAAGCATCATAAAAAAATGGAATAAAGATAAGAACCATAAGAATTTCAAAGTTTCTTCTAACATTATTTATTTTGAATGCAGGAAGCCAGGGCATCTGAAGTATGATTGCCCAACCCTAAAAGCTCACCCAAGTAAGAAGAAGGGTGAGGAGAAATCTAAGTTTTAGAAGGACAAGAAAAAGATCCAAAAGACTTTCTAGGTGGACTCAACATTAGACTCTTCTGAAATTAAAGTTAAAGAGGAGGTAACAAACATGTGTTTAATTACTGATGAACATCTTAATCACTCTGATCAAGAAGAGGTATGTGAGCTTACTTATGATCAATTACTTGAAGTTTTTGAAAAAAATTCATTCTTCATATAGGAAGCTCAAGGAACTATATGCTAGTCATAAAATTGATTTTTTAACTTTACAAAAAGAGCATAAGTGCTTGAAAAAAGATCCTTTCACTTTAGATAATAATCTTATGACCTAACTTGACGAATTTAATGAATTGAATAAAAAGCATCTTGATTTAACAAATGAGCATGAATCCTTGAAAAGTTTACATGTTGAATTAGAAAATGCATATAAGGACTTATATACTCTTGCAACTAATTTAAATAGTAGGGAACATGATTTAAAAATAGAAAGTTCAATTCTTAAAAATATAAATAAGTTCTTAGAAGCTAAATTAACTACTTTCAAATAAATAAAAAACCACTAAGAATGCTTTAGTTTCACAATCCATCAGATCAGCATGCATCATTCAAACTTAGGAAGAGACACTATAACTCGAGTAGATTAGTAAACTCTCTTCATGGTGTTAGATGCTTTTCTAGTGGCATGCTAGGATATATCTCCCATACATGCTTCGTTCACCATATAACACATTTAGTGTAGAGACCTAAAGTTCAAAATTCATAGTATAACATGCATGTATTTCATTCTTCTTTCTATAAGATGGGGTCCAAACCTATTTGGGTTCCCAAATTTAATATCTAATAATTTTGTTGGGGTGCTCTCCTAAAAGACCTCGTGAGAGCATGTGGTACCTATACAGTGAATGTTCAAGGCATATGACTGGAGATATAAATCAATTCATTTTGCTGGAGGCCAGGGTAGGAGGCAAGGTAACACTTAGAGACACCACCACCAAGAGAGTGGAAGGGCATGTATAATTGGTAACTCTAAAAATTTCATCATTAAAAATATTTTACTAGTTGAAGGTTTGAAACATAACTTGCTCAGC